AAAATCTTGCACGTGCTGTTCAGGCAATTACTCTTGGTATTGAAAAAGAGGAGTACCACAAAGCTTTTGAGGATTGGTGGAAAAGGCTACAACTTTGCATAGATAAAGATGGTCACTACTTTGAAGGAATGAAATAAATTTTTTTAAAAGTTGTAATAAAGTTTTTGAAATAAAGCTATTTTCTCATTACTTTTCAGCCACCCCACGTATTTTAGACTGGCCAGCACAGTCGCCTGATTTAAACCCCATTGAACATTTATGGAATGAAATTGACCGTCGTTTGCAACAACTTCCTGGTACTATTAGTAGTCATGAAGATTTGTGGAATAAAATACAAATGATATGGAATCAGATTGATGTTGATTTCTGTTTAAAATTAATTGATACTATGCCACAAAGAATAGCAGATGTTCTCAAAGCTAGTGGAGGATACACAAAGTGGTAACTGTTATGTAGTCAAGTTTTGGATAATATTTAGTTAGAAATATGTCAAGAAATTTATGCAAGAATTTTATTTTTGTTATGTGCCAAAAGTATTGCACCACGAAATTTTTATTCATTTGAGGTTTTTTTTAAAAAATGCAAATTGAACTACAATAAAGTTTGGTTATAATATAGTTAAAACTAATGTATTTTAAATGAGTCTAAATACATGTATTGATTATCTGTAGTTAATGAGATATTCCCGTCTAATAATTTTAAATCAAGTGGTGCAATAATTATGGAAGTCACTGTATATATGTATATATTAATATATATATATATAAAACAAACAAAAAATTTCAATTTTTACTTGTCAACAATTTTTACTTTTGTCAACACTTTTTACTTTTGTCAACACTTTTTACTTTTGTCAAATCGTCAAAATGGCCCTTGGTGAGAAACCACCTTTAGTCAGTACTTTCGTCACGTCAATGACTAAAGTCAAAAGTTTCGTCATACATCATTAGCCAGTGATACGCGCCGAAATCATGACAAGGTACCTCGGTAATTCTCGGAACGACAGGCTTTTGAATAGTAATTTTTTTATTTTTGCGGTTTTACAACGTCGACTACATCAAGAAATTTTTGAAAGAGAAGTTGATCTATCTATGCCAATTGCGTAAATTGTGATTGATAAACAATGTTGATTTAATAATAATATAAATCAATACACGTTGAATATCAACATTGATTTACACTTTTAACTTATTTATTAATAATATAATAAGTGCGGATCAAATAACGATAATCAAATAAAGTAATTTACATGATACATTTGTCATAACGTGAAACAACATGAATTAATTCAACTGGGATAATATTAAATTCCCTAGCTAATTTATTAAGTACAACAATATTTAAAAAATCGATTTTTCATTTTTGTAATGGAAATCATACCATTGTATGATGATGAGTGCAATAAATGCGAAATAATTTGTTTCTATATTAATACTTAAAAAACAGCGTATAGTTGGTGCGAAATACTTAGCAGTAAATATACCTTTCTGATAGGATTTCTATTTGAATAAGGTGTATTCGCTATGAATTTGAGTATTCGAATAAAACGAATAAATTCAAATAAATTTTTATCTGAATGATTAATTTGAAACCCTACAAGCATCTTCGTGCAACAGTATTGCATGGTTACTAAGTGTTAAGCCTCTTGAAAAGGTTCTTTTACAATCACTACATTTAAACTTCATAAATAATAATTCTATTAAATAGTGTTGGTTGCCAAAACTATTTCAAAGAGGCGAAAGTCAAAGCTAGGATTAAAAGTTATATGTCACTCCCCTACCATAAATATTCGACCAACCTGATGATCATTTTAATAATCGGAAATGTTACGCTTTATGCAGTTCAAAATTTCATTAATCAAATCGGACTGGTGCATTAAGTAAACATGTTTTAAAAGTTAATTTGCATATAAACTTAAGTCTCGTCGAGTTTGCATTATTAATGAATTTAGGATGAAAACTTTAAATTAGACAAAAAATTCCGTGATTTTTATGAAAACTTTGAGCTTAGTAAAAACCTTCAAAACTCCGTTGAACCATGGATTACGTCATTAAGCAAGTCCATTTAAAATATCTTGAATTTATATATGGTTAAAATTTGAGAAAATTTGATCAAGTATAAACAACAAAACGTAAAGCCTTAAAATTTGCATTTTGTCAACTTTATTAAGTGTTTTATATAATAAAATTACGGGGTGGTCGGATACTTTTTTAAACCCTTTTCACGAACTAATTTATGCCAACACCATATTGCAGATATATGTAAACTGTTACGTTGAACACATTTTATTAATGAATAATAATATACATTGCAATGAAGAAATTTGACCTTTATTGCATGTAATGATTCCGATTGAAAATTTGCTTTTTTGGACTATTTGCTAAATGTTTCTGTTAATACCGAACCTTTCGAAGCTTTTGTAATTTAGAGATTTTGATATCAAGTACAAGTCTACTTAGTAAAGTAAAAAAGGTTTTATTTAAGAAAACGTTACTTTTATCTCTTAAACGGTCAGAGTATTCTTTAATGGCAGTGTTGTGCATCTGATAGTTCCAATGAATTTCAATTGGAATTGTAAAGTCCAATTGAAATTCATTGGAACTATCAGATGCACAACACTGTTTTGACGTTACACAGATCAAGTGGTTGGATATTTATGGTGGTGAGTGTGCATATTATTGAAGGAATTTCGCGCGTGTCAAATTGACAACATAATAACTTATGCAAATTCTTATTCAAATTATTCGTAACATTAAATACAGTCAATTAAAAATTTTATTATTCGTTTTATTCGTTTTATAAAATATAGGTCTTATTCCTTTAACAAAATAATATAAACTATATCTATAATCTATTATAAATTTGGCGTGTAACTAATGCAGATTTCTACAAAATTTTAAAAGAATACGTATTTTACATTTAATATTAATATTAACAGTTAATTAGTATGACGTTACACTCGGGCATTTGCAAGCGAAAGTTGAATTTACGGTAATTAACCAAAAATGGACTAGTTAGTAAACCATAATGGAGTGAGTTTTTCTTTATTTATTGACCCGAATTAAAGTGTTGTGGTCACTTTCCTTTTTAAAAAGTACTTTTCGAATCATAGTGTTAGCGGTGACATTCAATAGAGTTTTCCCGGTCCTATTGAATTTTATACGGTGGTTCTTAAAAAAAGAAAAATGTCAGCTGCTTCTATTTATTATTATTATTATTATTATCATTATCAGGATTGGATTATCAATATGCATACTCGAATAAACCTTATTCGAATAGAAACCCTATATACAACATTGGATTAATTAATTGTCTTCTTTTCCCAAAAAAAAAAAAAAAATCTATGGTAAATGATAAGTGTGTACAATCAAAAAGAATTGCTCCGCATAATCGTGTAGTTTTCCACTAAAATATCTTGTGGATCATCCACTAATTTTTTTCCCATGAGAATATCCGATCCACTAAATGTTTTGATGATCTGCCGTATTTTTTTTAAAAGAATTTTTTCGAAAATTTGCTATTAATATTAACAGACATTATTTAATATAATATATTAATATTAACAATGACATGATATTAATAATATATTTATTATTAATATTAACAATGTTATTTAAAATCGTACCACATTTTTTAAAATCGTTTTCATTTTTTAAATACCATACTAAATTCTATCTATATGCGGAAAAATGGAATGAAATCAAAAGTAAATATCATTTTTTTTAAAAGAACACTTGTCAGGTAAATGAACATCATTAATTGACAAAAATAAAGAATGTGAAAAGTTAAATCTAAAGGAAAAATACATGATTATTTTAAAAGTCATCAGATTATTTAGTTTGACAAAAATGTTTAGCTTTATCAAAGACAATTAATAAAATAAATGTAAAAATAAAAAATTGAGATTATAAATATGGTTTAATTTTTTGCTTCCAAAAAACTTCAATTAATCTTTTCTCAATTAAACAATAAATAAAAAAGATCAATTATATAACACAAAATGAATTCAAAACAAGCATTTTTTATATTTCTAATGAATTTGATATACAAAATTTGAGTGATGATGAAGTAATAACTCCATTGATTAATCAATGGAATTATAAGGTCAATAATGATTTATTATTTTTAATTTTGGAAGAAAACAAAAACTTTACAATTAATTTTCCCACTCTAAACATAAATGTAAAAGTAATAAATTATGATACAGTTAACCAACTAGTATCAAACCCTTTATATAACCCTTCATTACAAAAATACTTTAAAAGTACATGGTGGAATACTATATTATTTTGGTCTGATATAATTCCTTCTGTAAAAAGCCATACAAGACATGCTACAGCTACAGTTGAAGTTGAGAATAACATTGTGAAAAATATGGACATAAAAAAAAGAAATTTACCAATAGATCAATATATTACTATTTGAGTTGAATCAATTAAATCAACTCAAAACATAATTGCAGAGAAATTATTAAATACACAAAAAAGGTAATTGAGAAATTATTGCATATTATTTTATTTATTTACTTATTTATTTTACTGCTATTTTTAATGATAGAAGAAGAAATGAAGTATCTACAAATGGTGATCCAAGTGAACAGTGAGAAAAAGAAAAAAGAAACAACTCACAAAAGCAGAAAAAGTTCTTCTTGAAAGATTCAAATCTGTAGTGGATTGTCATAGAAGAGTTGTAGCAATAAGTCAAAAACAAATTGCTCAAGAAATTTGTATGGAATCTGAAGTCAAAATTGGCCTCAATCAATCAATGGTATCAAAAATGTATATTGGTATAGATGTACCAAAATGTAATAATACAATTGATGCTATTAATTCATGGATTGAAAAAAAAGAAAATAACTTATAAAAATTTATTTGTATTTTACTATATTTATTTATTTATTTTTTATGGTGTACTTTTTATTACAATAAAATAATTATTTATTATGGGAAAAATATTAGTGGATGATCTGCAAGTGGATATAGTGGAAAACTACATGATTATTTGTTCCGCGACCATTATGATTATCCTTTACTCTTGCTTGTTTTGGTAAACCAATAGTAGTTGCGATGTAATCCATTCCGATCAGCTCAAAGGGGTTAAGTCCTAATTAGTATTAGCCAAGTTGCTCATGGCCAACCCCGACTTCGATCAATATTTATATATTAATATAGATTTTTTATCAGTTCCTTGTTCCCGCAATTTAATTCAAAACCATCTTAATCGCCAATAATATCTAAACAAATTTCTAAAAACACATATTGATAAAATGGATGAATTGCATACACTATACATGTGATCACGGTAATTTCATTTGTATAATGAAGTATCCGGAAAACAAACCATGATGCAATTGTAGGAAGGAATCAAGCGACACACAATTTATTTTATACTTACAACTGCGGTATAGTACATGCATAATAGTATTGTCAATAGCGTTATGATATA